GTAGCATATGCTTTGTAGTGTCTACTACAAACTGCCTGAAGTATTAAATCCTACTGACAGGCAAGCAGACATGCCCAAGAGTCCTTCCCTGCCTGCCTGCAATAAACTGGAATAGCTAGCAAACTAGAGAGACTTTTGCTCAGTTCATATTTAGACACGTCTGTGCTGTTTTATTTAGGCATGCCTGTTTCATAGGTAGAGACTTCGAACCAATTCCCATTCCTATCAACCAGGATGTTTATCTGGGTCCTGAAATTCTCTTGAGGCGGGGGCTCGTGTAAAGTGCACATAGCTGAAAAGTATGATCAGAAGGGACAGTTTTCAGATCCTCTTCTTTGCAATGGGGTTTCAAAGCAACCAGCACAGTAAGCATGCACCTGCCCCATGCTACTGACATCTGAGATTGCAGCAAATAAACCTGTCTATGGAGAGATGGATTATCCTTACTTGAATTAGGGGTTAGACTTGGTATCTCTAAGATCAAATCAGTCCAGAGCGTTCAGGTTTCTCTGGTAGTGCTTCCTCCTGGTCTTCTGTCTGTGGCAGGAGAAGTTTGTCAGAGTGTGCGACAGGCTGTGCAGCATGGTGGAGAAGCTTGTGAAATGGTTGTACAGCATAGTCAAGCAGCTACAGAACAGGACAGAGTCAAGAGATCTCCATTCGAATCATGGCTTTGACTGGACCTGCTCTGAAAGCACAGGCACGACAATAAGATCTAGATTCAACCTGTGGAACTCCTTGCCAGAGGAGGCTGTGAAGGCTAGGACTATAATAGAGTTTAAAGAGAAGCTAGATAATTTCATGGAGGTTAGGTCCATAAAAGGCTATTAGCCAGGGGATAAAATGGTGTCCTTGGCCTCTGTTTGTCAGAGGCTGGAGAGCGATGGCAAGAGACAAATCGCTTGATCATTGTCTTCGGTCCACCCTCTCTGGGGCACCAGGTGCTGGCCACTGTCGGCAGACAGGATACTGGGCTAGATGGACCTTTGGTCTGACCCAGTACGGCCATTCTTATGTTATGTTCTTATTTTCAGACCGTGCTCCCTCTCATCTTTTCCATCCGTGTGCAGAATAAAATGTTATGTGCACCAAGGCATGTGTGATTGTGCACCACCCACAGAAACAAAAAAAACCCCTAGCTGTGGGTTTTGTGATATTCAGCTGGGTGGCATTGGAATCTCTCCTGAGTAGCCGCCCAAGTGCCCAGCTGACACGGAGCACTGCTTTCAGACATGGCCTCAGATTTTGGGTGCCTCCATTGTTGGGTGCCCACTGTTAGAAAACAAGGGCCTGATTTCAAGAGGTACCAAATGCTCCAAACCACAGCTGAGTGTCACGTGGGTGGCACCTGAAAACTGAGCTACCCCCAATTTAGTGGCAACTTCTGGCCTTTTAGCTCTGGGTCAATCAGCCAGTTCCCCTTCTCTAAAGTCAGGATCATGCCTGAATCGTGACATTAAAAACATGCGCTGACCGATACCTCTGCAAAGGGCTTGAGCTCTTGGGATAGAAGGTTCTTTATAAACATGAACCCGAATACAAGCTAAGCAGCTGAGAGGATGCTACAGGGGGGAAAAAGAGCATTATAGCAAGTATTTTAGGTGTAGTTTTGTTTTCTGTGTGGCTGAATATGACATTTCTTAATGAATTTTTAGACTCCACGCACTTTGAACCACACCAGTATCCGCCTGTGGGTTTGCAAAGCACCTTGTCCATTCAAGATGCTTCCCTCATCTGAACGGTATAATAATTCTCTTGCTTTCCATAATCAGGTCATTTAAATGGGGCGAGTCGGACCCTGTCCCCTATGCGGTCTATGGCCATGCTGTGGTGTCAGACAAGGATCTAGTCTACCTCATAGGAGGCAAAGGAAGTGACAAGTAAGTGAACGAGCAAGGGAAAGACAAGGCGTGGGAAGGGCAAAACATTTCTGATGGCAAAAGGGGTTGGCTGCTTCCATGTCCTAAGTCACGTCTAGAAGAAGGAAGTTATACAGGGGGCTTGGTTGGGTACATAACTAGGGTAATTAGCAGGTTAAGAAGTATAGAGGAACAGATGGATCAAGGGAGGATGGGGGGCTAGCATGGGGACCCTTCCCTTCCAAGCCTCTGAATCCAGCCTTAATCCTGTTGCTAGAGTTTCTCTCAGGGACCTCAGCGCCACCCCTGTATAATTGTATTGAGATGAATGGGTGAACAGCAGAAGGATCAAGGACAACATACGGCCATGACACAGAAAGACTGTCCTCCTTCTTCCCCCTATAAACCAGCATGACAAATGACAGGAGAGACACGAGAATGCCCCCCACCCCGCAGCAGGGAAACTGTCTGTCATCACACCAGGAGCCCTGCCTGGGAGAAGGCTGGTCTGCCACAGGAAGAACCCGCTGTCCCAGCTGCAGCAGCAGCAAACGACCTCAGAAAACTTTACCTCGGGCCCAGCTGTCATTTAGTACCCGCAGGGGACAACTCCTCAGCATGACCTGCCACTTGAAAGGAACATTCCAGCCAGGGCAGAACAGCAAAGATAAAGATGGATAAAATAGGCTAGCAATGGTAGATCCCACATAAAAGGTGGGCAAATGCCGACCTGCGGGCCAGTTCTAGTTCTCCAGGCTGGCGGGGCCCCCACACTGCTGTATTTCCCTGCACCTTCGCATGTACGGGTGATCATAGCTCCCATTGGCCGCAGATTGCTGTTCCCAGCCAATGGGAGCTGCGAGAGCCTGTACCTGCAGAGCTGCAGATAAATGTAGTGGCAGGGGCTAACCCTGGTGAACTGCCGTCATTTTATTGCCCACCCCTGCCCCATGTCAAAGAGACTGCAGTATGGAAAGAGGGCGCATACCCCTCCTAGACTGTAAGTGCTCTGGGGCAGAGAGTCCCGTGATTAGTTTCTGCTGCAGCATTGAATGTCATCATCAGGACTTAACAAATCAGGCCTGCTGCCGAGTGCATGCAGGCAGATCCCTGATTTGCATAAGCTAGACACACACCGAAAGGAACATTCCAGCCAGGGCAGAACCTGCCTGATTTGCATAAGCTAGACACACACAGCTAGCAATGTGTACGCACAACACCAGGGTGCTCACGGGCAATAGTGTCTACACAAGAAAGGTAGATGTTGCACACAAGAAAGACATCTATTGAGTTGACATGGGCTCAGCGGTAAAATGAACGGGTCCCCATTTCCAGTGTCATAGAAGCAGCTGTAAGTCAGCTGCCGGCTTAGATTGACCCTAAAGAATCCCATCTCTCGGTCCAGTGGAACTAGGCCATGTCCTAATTCAGCGAGGTTGCTGTTCCCTTTTGCCCTTTCGCAGGAAGTGCCTGAAAAAGATGTGTGTCTACAACCCTAAGAAGTTTGAGTGGAAGGAGCTGGCTCCCATGAAAACCGCCCGTTCTCTGTTCGGCGCAACCGTGCACAATGGCAAGATCTACGTGGCAGCTGGGGTGACTGACACGGGCTTGACTGACTCGGTGGAAGCGTACGACATTGCAGCTAACAAGTATGTACTGTGCCTTGTCCTTGGGATGAAAATGCTCCAGGGAGCAGCTGCAGGAATGTGTGAAACAATCCGACCCCAGCAGCCAACCACTTGGAGCTAACTTGGCTCCATCCACCCAGCTTACTGTGCAACCGTGGCACCTCTTTGCCTGGTCTTAGTCATTGCTGGTCCAGGTTCATCTGTCTAGTGCCGGAGGTTTGCTGCAATATCAGTAGCTTGAATGCCCGGAAGGCATGGGGAATGGGGTCACTCAACCAGGAGAGAAGCAGAACCCTAACTTGTTGCATCCCCAGGCATTGGGATGGGATAGGCTCCCTGTCCAGAGATCAGGTTATGTCACAACTTCCAGGGGTGACACACTTCTCAGCCTCGTGTATGAAACCCAGCTGGGAGGGGAGATTTCTGCCTCCTTCCTGCTCGATCCCCCACTGACTGCAGTGGGTTTGGGATCAGCCCCAGAGCCCCCCATGCACAGGCCACGTAGCTCTAGGAACATGGAAGGGAAGGAATCCTCCGAAGGGCTGCAGTGGCCCTCACGCTGATTGTATTGCCCCTCCAGGGTTCAGTGTAATCTCAGAGCCACACCCTTGCCCGAGCCAAATGAGTCTGGTGCTGCGCAGTATGCAAGGGGGTGCAAACCCCACATGGGTCCCCTCCTCCTGCCTATGCACACTCTGCAGAAGCCCACAGGCCACACTGGCTAATGCATGACTGGCAGGCCCTCAGACACTAAAGTGGGGAGCGCAGCATAAGACCCTCTACAGAACAGAACAGGAGCGATTGTTTCTGGTGTATCTGGGGTCTTGTGTGACCACCAAGGGGTGTTGCGGGTGTTCAGCACACCTGGAAATTAGACCCTGGCTGCCTGAAGTCAGGCACCCAGACCTGACGGGTGCTTTTCATAACACTGGGCCTAAGCAACTTGCCTGAGGGCCACACAAGTTGGTGAGTGGTACTGCTCACAAGTCCAGGCACATATCCATGCTGAGGTAGCTGCCATGATAGCAAGCGCCCCGCACACCCGCTTAACATGTCTAACCTTTCTGCCCGGCAGGTGGGAGCCCTTCACTGAATTCCCCCAGGAGCGCAGCTCTGTCAGCCTGGTGAGTCTGGGGGGCAGCCTGTATTTACTTGGCGGATTTGCCACAGTGGAGACCGAGTCAGGAGAACTGGTGCCAACCGAACTCAATGACGTCTGGAGGTAAGAAACATCGCCAGCCAGCAAAGGGTGTACCTGGAGGCTGAGTTCTTCTGGAGCTCTGTCCCCTCTCTGTGCCCAGATTGCAAGTGGTGTAAAAGCCAATTTCTTGCCCTTAAATGGCACTTGTTTTTATTGTTTTGGGGGTGACTCACTTCTCACCAGTGATTTTCAAAAGATTAAAAAAGTGGAGAGAGTGCAGAAAAGAGAGCCCCCAAAATGATTCCAGGTGAATCACTGAGACATGACAATCCCAGAATATCAACTTCATGGGGAGAAAATACCAGGTACTAAAGGGGTCTTTAAATCGAGCAGAGAAAGCCAGAATAAGAGCCCACGGTTGGACTTTAAAGGCAGACAAATTCAAACGGAAAATAAGTCACTTGTTGTTTTTTTTTAAACAGTGAGGGTGATTAGCCTCTGGAACAGACTAGCCAGGGAAGTGGTGGATTCTCCATCACTTGAGATCTTCCTAGAAGAGTTGGTGCATTTCTAGAAGAGATGCTTTAGCCAAACGTTATTGGGTTCAAAACTGGGGCAAAGTCTGTGGCCTGTATTATAAAGGGAGTCAGACTAGATGATCATAAAGTTCCCTTCTGGCCTCAAAGACTATGAAACTGGAAATTAAATGAGCCTTTAATCAAGGCTTTGTCTGCACTAGAGAAATTTTGCACAAAGTTTCCTGCTATTGGTTAAGTCTGGGTCTGAGCCCCACTGGTATTGGCATAGCCTTGGTGCCAAAAGCCACCTCACGGCCCTCAGTGTTCTAAGCAGAATGCTGACCCAATCTGCTTTCAACCAAGGCAGAACAGGAGACTACTTCCAAAGCAGGTTGACTGTCAAGACCAAACAAGTGCAGTGGGGAGAGGGCTCTGTGGGCGTGATCCACACTGTGTAAATTCCCTGAGCTCCACTGACTTCAGCTGAGCTATGGCATTTTACACCAGCTGAGTGTCTGACACTATTGCTTCTCTGGCCTGGAAGCCTATCAAACCTAGATAATGGAGACTGTCTGAGTCTTGATGGCTTCAGTCCAGTCCCCAATGGAAAAACCTACTCCTCCAAGTCCTCTAAAACTGGCACACTCATTAACAGGCTCAGCAGAGAGACTACTGCCATTCAATCCATGGGAACGGACCTATCCTTTCCCATGCAACATACCCCACCAGGGGACCGGGGCAGGTATATTGGCAGGGCAGCACAAAGACATTTGCTAGTTGATGCCTGTACTGTAGCAGTTCTGTGCAGAGCGCACTCAAGCCTCCTGTATTATCAATCTAACATTTTTCATCAGCTCAAGGGCCCAATCCCAAAGTCTGTTCATGTCAATGGATTTTAATTAAGGCCTAAGCCCATATTCACAAGACTGAAACTGACTCAAAAAATCCTACCTATCCCTCTTGGTAGCTTTCATGACATATAGAATCACAGTCCTTAAACAAGAGACACGTATTAATGAAAATAAATTACAGCTACTGACAGAATCTAACAGGTTTCCACAATGCTCAAGTTCCATTTTTGGCTCTCTTGTTTACCACACACCACACCGGCTGGAACTCTACACACAGAGACATCTAGTGGCTGAATAACATAATGCAAGTACACACGTTACAGGAGTAGCACTGAATCTATTTCTCATAGCCAGAGCTGGGATGGGGAACATAGTGGATGGTCAGCAAAGAACTCTGTTCCTATCATTTTTTGTCTACCTCCCTTTAGGTATGATGAAGAAGGGAAGAAGTGGGAAGGCGTCCTCAGAGAGATCCAGTATGCCTCAGGAGCCACCTTCCTTCCTGTGCGCATGAATGTTTTACGGCTAACAAAGATGTAAATGATGCAATGATTTATGTTGGTCCTGTTTTTTTTCTAAGTTCACTTTTAAAAATGTGATGGGGAGTGGGGAGTAATTTTTATTGGATAAGCAAGAGATTTGTCTGTTATTTGTTGCCACTTTAGTTCACCCAGAAGGGAAGAGAAAGAATTAAGTTGAACCCTTATGGGAGCTTAAAGAAGATTAAAGCACGAGAATCCAGATCTGGGTACCACAAAGAGCAGTGATGGGTGGATTACCTGGGAGTTCAAGACTCATTCTACCTCTAGAAACAGATTCCTTCCCTTCTTCCTTTCTGGATAGGAACCACAATTTTCCATCAGGACAGAATCTTGAATTCAGGAATTCACATCTTCCCTTCTTATTCCCTTTCCAGGAATTCACATCTTCTTTCTCCCAATTTTCTCCTTCCATCCAACAAGGCCCTTCTTCGTCTCCACCACCCCTCTGACCAGGGAAGTCGGGAGACGGATCCCAAAAGAATGAAGCAAGCCAGAATAGCACATTCCCATGCAAGGGAATTTCAAACACAAGGTAGTTCCCAGCCAACCTTCCAAAAGGGAGTCATTCGTTAGCAGTAAGGGAAGCAAGAGATCTGTGCTGTAGGCACTTGGTGCTGGTCTGAAGCATGTGAGAGGCCTTGGCCATTCTATTGAGTATAACTCACAAAGAAAAAAACAGTGTGCGTGTGAGGGATAGGGGAAATGCTCCTGCAGCAACAGCAAACAGCAAGCTAGATAGGGCTAAAAAGAGCGAGCACCGAAGAACAGGTGCAATCAGACCAGTCTGTTGTAATAGGTGCCTCAGGGTTTGTTTCTACTATGCCAGGGTTCAATGCTGCAGCAATTGACCCACCGGCTGTCAATTTATCACATCTGCTTAGATGCGATAAACCAATCTCTGAGTGCTCTCCCGTCAATGCCTGTACTCCACCAGGACAAGAGTAGCCAGCATTGATGGGAGAGGAGCCCTTGCTGACCTTATCACAGACAAGACCGCAATAAGTATGTTGACTTTTACGTAGCCGAAGTCACATAGATTAGATCGATGGTGGGGGTCAGTGTAGACAAAGCCTCAGACACGCTCTCCAACAGATTTCCACACCTGCCGGGGTCAGTGTAGACAAAGCCTCAGACACGCTCTCCGACAGATTTCCACACCTGCCTTTTGCGTTTTGTTTCCTTTGGCCTTATTATCTTTGCATTCCAGAGGTTCAGCTTCCACTCTCTCTGAGCAACTGTTCCAGAGGAAGAAGGGGGAAAATGGCTTCTTGATGTCATCAATTATTAGCTCTCCTTGCCCACTAAGTAGAGGACCTACACGTCTTTTCATTGTTCTCTTATGCCTAACATTATTAAAGAATCTCTTCTGGCCTTTTATGTCCCTTGCTAGGTATAAATAACTCATTTGTGCCATAGCTATACTGATTTTTGTCCTTACCTGCTTGTGTTATTTTTCTGTACTCCTCTTTAGCAATTCATCCATGTTTCCACTTTTTTAGGATTCCTTTTTGATTTCCAGGTCATTAAAGAGCTCCCAATGGAGTCATATTGGCCTTTTACTTGTCTATCTTTACTTTTTATCCATTGATGCAAAGGAATGCTGTATAAGGGCACATCTACACGGCAGAGCTAAAGTCAAATTAAGCTACACAACTTCATCTATGTCAATTGCGTAGCTTAAGTCAAAATAGCTGAACTCGGCTTTTGGCGCTGTCTTCACAGCAGGAAGTCGAAGGAAGAACACTCTTCCTTCGACTTCCCTTTCTCCTCATGAAATGAGGGCTACCATGAATCCGAGTAAGAAGTCCTCCAGCTCGACATTATTTTGAAATAAAGGCTTGTGGTGTAGATGCATACTATGTTATTTCGGAATAACATCAGTTATTCTGAAATAATGCTGTTGCGTAGATGTACCCTAAGAGACTGATATAACTATTTGCTTAAGAGCGGTACTTCGCTGCCTGCTCCTAGGTGGCAAAGGCTGCAGTGAAGGAGAAATTCTCTGTATTTGTGGTAGCAGCTGCAGAAGCAGTTGATTTGTTCATATGGTTCCAGTAGTTTTATTTCTGTTCTTTTTAATTATCTGGAGTCTACATGCTCCCTCTCTTCTTCACAATAACAACCAACATGTCACAGACTGCAGTGATCACATACAGAGTTTTGCAAGGCTTTGTTGCATCAAAATTTCCCTTTTCATGGGGTGGTTTTATATTTACGATGTCATGGAAATTTGTCATGTCCTTTCCTTTTGTTCTTAAACCGCGGCTTGCAAAATAGATCAATAACACTGAAACTCTCCACAGCTTTTGGCTCAGTGGAAGCATCCTACCATTGAAATGTGCATTTTTAGGCTCCAGCAACAATTTTTGATAGATACAAATACACCTGGACTTGTAATAGACACAAATCTCTGTGGAAAGGAAAGCCTGAGGACTCCTATATTATTGGACCAGTGTTTTATTTTACAATAAAAAAGAGAGACATACTATGTGTGTGTGTGTGTGATGACCAATGCCACATCAACTAAACATCATAATCAAATTGCAACTGCATTGGACAGGGTTGGAAACAAGTGGTCATGCGCACAGCTGGTTCAGGGCTTGCGTTTGAGGCAAGGCAGCAAGCTCAGCTGGTCCCACTGAGCCTTCTTTAAATGGTCGTGTTTCCTGATTGGGCACAGAAGCCAGCAGCCTGATCCTGGAGCCCAGTAGCTCTAGCAGCGCAGTTGCAGCTCCAGGTGTATCATGCCTGCCGCTGTGCTTGCCCTGTTTTTGCTTCTGCTTCCTGCTCCAGCCCTGTTCCTGCCTGGCCTTCCTGCTCTGGTTCTGACTCAGCCTCCAACCTTTGGCCTGCCTCCTCACCCCAACTTCCAGCTTCACTCAGGCTGGATTACTGTCTCCTGGATCTATACTCACCATTACTCCAAACCGCTGCCACACCTATGAGACAAGGTCCTACATCTGGGTTGGCTGCCTACATCCAGCAGCCTACATTATGAGTACTCCATGTGTGGAATAAATTTTGTTACGTGTGGATGTGCACCACCAGTAGAAAATACATGCTGCTGGCTGCGAGTGCTCTGCTAGTCATGTATTTGGGCGGCATTTGAATCTCTCCTGGACAGCCGCCTAAACACCTAGCTTACAGGGAACGCTGTAGTATTACAAAAGGCTGTTCAGTGCATTGACTACTGTGCCAACAATGTTGACTTTGCCTATTAGCTGAGGTCACCCTTCACTCATGCGTTAAGGATAAAGCAGTATCAGCTATCTAAGCTTTTACACCAACCTAATTCTTATGATTATATTTACTGTCGGTATCACAGTAGCACCTGGAAGTTGCTGTTGAGTTTGGGGGCCCATTATGTTGGAGGGTGGACATAGTCAGAGGCAGTCCTTACCCCAAAAGGTCTGCAATCTACATAGGCAAGACACAGGGCTAGAGGGGGACCAAGGCGATGAAGGGTCTTGTCCCAGTGCCCACAGGCAGATTGAGTTGGAAACAGTGTCAGCCACTGCCTCCCACAATCAGGCCTAATGGTTGGAGCATGGTCACGGCTAGGTGTCGAGCTGGACCTGAACCAAGGTTCAACCTGGACGGATCAGAACCGTAGTGAGCCCAGCTGTGGGCCAAGACTCCTGAGTCCCAGCCCCATGTCCTCACCACGGAAGGACACGTACAGCGTAGTGAGCGGCCAAGCATTGGAGAGGGTCTATCAAACACGGCTGAGAAGCAGCGGTCGGGATTCACTGCAGAATGTGACTTTGCAGGTAGAATGGGGCCTCACTCCCAACGACGAAGGGCACCCTGATGGGTCTGATGCAGGTCTCTCAGGAACTAACAGCCACGCACAATGGCTCCTGCTCTGCTCCTCTCATCACCCTTTTTCTTCTCTTCCTGAAAAGCCTGATTCTTTCTCTTCAGCGCCGACCCTGCCCCTTCGATCTGGCTCCCTGGCCAGCCTCTTCAACACACCATGTGTAGCTTTCATGGCGCCTGTTCTCCACAGCTGCCCAACGCTACACACCGCTCTCTGCTGAATTGCCTGGCGGTTAGCTTGTGACCAGAGTAGCTATGGTAGGCAGAGGTGCTTATTGAGATTCTTGGATACCTTTTAGCTCAATGATGGGTAACCTAAGCTAGTGAGTGGGCTGCAAGGCTGTTGTAACCAAGACTGTCTCCAGTTTTGCTAACTATGCTTGCACACTAGAATGGGTGGGGTGCACTGATTGAACTGTAGCAGCACTTTGACTGGATGCAGAGAGTCCACACGGCTCTCACAGTCAATGTTAAAAACACAAGTAGTCCTGTAGCACCTTTGGGCATTTCCAGGGCTGGGTTAAGGTGGGGGGGCTAGCCGGGCAGCTGCCCAGGGCGCCAGCCTATGGGGGGCGCCTGATTGAATTGCTAAGGGGCACCGTGCGCCCGGGGGCGGGGCCGCACATGTGCCACGCGCCCGCTGCCTGGGGCGCAACTCGGACTCGGTCCGGCACTGGGCACATCTACACAGCAGAGGTAGCCCTTTAGCACCTTTGGGCATTTCCAGGGCTGGGTTAAGGTGGGGGGGCTAGCCGGGCAGCTGCCCAGGGCGCCAGCCTATGGGGGGCGCCTGATTGAATTGCTAAGGGGCACCGTGCGCCCGGGGGCGGGGCCGCACATGTGCCACGCGCCCGCTGCCTGGGGCGCAACTCGGACTCGGTCCGGCACTGGGCACATCTACACAGCAGAGCTAAAGCCGCAATATGCAACTTGAGCTACGCGATGGATGTAGCTCAAGTCGAAATAGCTTATTTTGGATTGTGGCGCTGTCTACACAGCAGGAAGTCCCAGGAAGAGCACTTTTCCTCCAACTTCCCTTACTTCCCCTACAAGGAGGGTTACAGGAGACAGAGTAAGAAGTCCTCCAGCTTGACATTATTTCGACATTATGTCGAAATACCTCCTTGTAGTGTAGACGCAGACTGTATTATTTCGGAATAATGTCAGTTATTCCGAAATAACCCTGCTGTGCAGACATAGCCTTAGAGGCTAGCAAATATGACCTTTTGTGGGCAAAACCTACTTCCTCAGATGAGCAGAAGTGGGCTGTGCCCACAAAAGCTCACGATACAATATATATTTTTGTAAGTCTCTAAGTTGCTACAGGGCTACTCATTGTTTTTAAAGTTACAGACTAACACGGCTACCCCTCTGAGACTTTTAAACAGTCAGTGTTGTACGCCCTTGCTTTACATGTTTGTCCTTTTAATAATCCCGGTAGGAAAAAAAACCCAACCTATGCAGACAGAAACCAGCAGAATAGAACCCCAACAGGCCACAGGTTGACTACCACTGCACTAGAGTCTCTAGAAACCGCCCTTAAAAACGTGTAGATTCTAACAGACAGTGCAGTCCTTGTGGAAGGTTATGTTTAAAAAGGCCTATAGCGCAGACAGAATTCTCCATTCAATTGTATGAGGCTTTTCCATAAAGAGATCGCGTAAGAACATAAATTCACAGGGACAAACCACTGAAACACTAGCAAATTCTAGCATCA